TTATTTTAAATTATAAAATATCTACTTTTAAATAAAATAAAATTTTTATTATTTAATAATTTTTTTATCTAAAAGTTTATATTTTATAATTTAAATTAAAAAACAACATAGGCTCATCAAATTCTCGAAACCTGAAACAAGTCCAATTATAAAATTAACTAGTTAAAGTCAACCCTCAGGCAAATCAACATCAACAATTAATGCTCAAACAAAATCGGTACATAAATACTAACCATGTTTATTCTTAGGGTTTTTTTTTTTTAATGTCCATCCTTCTTTTTCCCATAAATATATAAAGTGTTCACTCAATGTACTCCAATAGGGAGTGAATTGGAGTTTCAAAAAATTATCTCCTTTACAACTACAAAATCAAAATTAAAAAGAGTAGAGAAAAAGAACTTACTCAATGATTTTATAGAGGTTTAGTCTAACCACTTTAAATCTAGTCCTCTACTTTGACTTCATTCACCAAAAATTTCCTCCACCCTCTCCCCCAAGAAAAACAAGGGTGACTTAAAGGAGTCACTTAATCATTTTACAAGAAGATGAGTATTTCTCTCAAACCTCACCCCTTTACAATATAAACCCCAAGAATTTTCTTTATGGATCACTCTTAAAGGAATAATCACACCCCCAAGAAAATACACAAATAAAACAAGAAGAGGATTACAAGTAAAGATCACTTAAAGATCAAAACTTAAGTTAAAGCACAAGTGGGTAGGTAAAGATATTCAATGCAATGATCTAAGACTTGTTTCAGATCTATTACCAATCATATTTATAGCCCCTTGCTCGAAAATAGTCGTTTCTAGCCATTGGGGGTCATTTAAAGCTCTGTAGGATGTGTAATTTCAAATTGTAGAATTGTCAGCATAGTCAGCTTAGAGAATAGAGTCGGCTCTATATAGCTGGCTTAGAGTTCTACAGCCGATTTTGTGGGTTTTCTGCACATTCTGTTTTCCTCGAGAGTCGACTGTAAAATGTAAAGCTAGCTTTGGAAATCCGACTTTAAAATATTAAATAAATCTTCAAATAACTTGATTGTTGTGCATTTAATGCACCCTCACAGTCAGCTGCAAAGTTAAAGCTGGCTTTGTGTCTATTTTCCGTGCGGGCCAAACAATGCCAAACTACAGTTTTAAATCTTTTACCCATAGAGCGGTTTTAGAGTCAGCTTTCTTCCAATTCAGTTGTTCCAGAGCCAACTGTAGAGTTTTTAAGTTGGCTCTCTGCACAATCTAGCCTTTTTGGTCCATTTTTAATGCATTTCAAGTTCACTTACTTTTGCAATTTTTGGTGTTCAACTACACACTTAACTAAACCAATTAATCACTCAAATGTGTTTTATAATAATCAAAATCATAAGTATAACAATCTCCCCCTTTTTTATGATGACAAAACACTTTGAGAATGAATTAATGAAAGCACATATATACTTCAAAATTAACCAGAAATTTTAGCATCAAAATAGTCTAGAAAATGGCAACAAATTTAGCACACTTTCTCCCCCTTTTTGTCATCCATCAAAAAGTACATAATCAATAAACTCCCCCTCAATTCATGCATACCAACCTTGAAAGCATAAAAAAAAAAATGTAATTCAAGCATAATATCCACGAATTGCTCCCTCTCAATGAAAGCACTTAAAAATGTAATCATCAAAAGCATAATCAATCACAACAATGAGAATGTAAGCATAATACCAAACTTATATAACATTAAGCACAAAAGAGAGCAACATTATGCAAATTAATAAATTTGCATAGATTCTAACAAATAAGCACATTAATTTCAAGAACCATGTCAAGTAGTAGGATCTAGCATGCCAAGCTCATTTCTAATAAAGAAAAATGCATCACGATCAAGAAACTTTGTAAAAATATCAGCTAATTGATTTCTAGTATCAACAAACAATAAATCAACATTACCATTAGCTACATGATACCTAATAAAATGGTGTCTAATTTCTATGTGCTTTGTGCAAGAATGTTGGATGATATTTTTAGTGAGATTGATAGCACTAGTATTGTAATATTTAATGGGAATATGATTCATGGTAATGCCAAAATCCAAAATTTGTTGTTTCATCCATAACACTTGAGCGTAACAACTTCCAACGGCTATGTATTCGGCCTTGGTTGTAATAAAGCAACACTATTTTGCTTTTTGGAAGACTATGATATGAGCATATTACCAAAAAATTGACAAGTTCCACTTGTACTTTTTCTATCAATCCTACAACTCGCATAGTTTGCATCAGAATATGAATGTAAGTATAAGGAAAAACCCTAGGATTCCATAAACCAAGGTTTGGAGTATCCTTTAGGTACCTAAAACTCTTTTAATCGCAACTAAGTGTGACTCCTTAAGACAAGCTTGAAATCTAGCACACAAACAAACACTAAACATATATCTGATCTACTTGCGGTTAAATAAAGTAAGGAACCAATCATGCTTCTATAAAGCTTGGGATCAATAGGCTTACCTCCTTCATCATTGTCAAGGTTAATTGAAGTGCTCATAAGAGTAGCTATTGGCTTACAAAGCTCCATGCCAAACTTCTTAAGCATTTCCTTTGTATATTTGCTTTGGTTGATAAAGATACCTTTTTTGGATTATTTGATTTGAAGTCCCAAGAAGAAGTTAAGCTCACCTATCATGCTCATTTCAAATTCACCTTGCATAGCTTTGGAAAACTCTTGACAAAGAGAATCATTAGTAGCACCAAACACAATATCATCAACATAGATTCGGACAATTGATAGATTTGGACAATTAGTATATCTTGGCCTTTATTTTTTACAAATAAAGTAGTATCAACTCTTTCTCTAGAAAAACCGTTTGTAAGTAAGAAGCTACTTAACCTTTCATACTAAGCTCTATGAGCTTGTTTTAATTTATATAAAGCTTTTGAAAGTTTATAAACATGGTTTGGATGAAATGGATCTTCAAAATCAAGAGGTTGCTCAACATAAACATCTTCTTGAATATAACCATTTAGAAAAGCACTTCTAACATCCATTTGGTAAAGTGTAAAACCTTTAAAACATGCAAAGGCTAGTAGCATCCTAATTGCTTCAAGTCTAGCTATCGGGGCAAAAGTCTAATCAAAATCAATTCCTTCCTCTGGACAATAGTCTTTAGCAACTAGTCTTGCCTTGTTTCTAACCACAACTCCATTCTCATCTAACTTATTTCTAAAAACCCATTTAGTTCCTATGATGGGATGGTCTTTAGCTCTTGAAACAAGATTCCAAACTTTATATCTTTCAAATTGAGTTAATTCCTGTTGCATAGCCATCACCCAATCAGGATCATTCAAACTATTATCAAGATTCTTTGCTTTAATTTGAGATATAAAGGCAACAAAAGCACAAGTATGATGAGTATGAGATCTAGTAGTTACCCCTTTTGATGGATCCCCAATGATTTCATTACATTTGACATATGATCTCTCTCTTGGAAAAGTTGGTTCTCTTGGTTCATGTGTTTGTTGCACTTCTTCGTGTTTGTCTTCCTCATTTTTTTTTTATTTTGAGATTCTTTGGTATTGTCTTCCTTGGGATTTATATTTTTCATTTATTCTCCAACGGCATCTACATCATTATCATCACAACACTTTCTAAAGCAAATATGGTTAGTCTCATCAAATACCACATCAATAGATTCCTCAACAACTTTAGTACGTGTATTATAGACACGGTAAGTTTTACTAAAAGTAGAGTATCCAAGAAAGATGCCTTCATCACTTTTAGAATCAAATTTCCTAGAGAATCCTTTCCATTGTTCAAAATAAAACATTTGCAACCAAAAGCTCTAAAGTAGGAAATCTTGGGTTTTCTTCCTTTGTAAATCTCATAGGGGGGCTTTCTTAAGAATAGGCTTTACCATAACTCTATTCAACAAATAACAAGAGGTTGCAATGGCTTCGACTCAAAAGGATTTTGGCAAATCATTCTCATAAAGCATAGTCCTTGCCATTTCCTCAATGGTACAAAATTTCCATTCAACCACCCCATTTTGTTGAGGAGTTTTAGGGGTCGAAAAGTTATGATCAATACCACGTACAATGCAAAAATCTTCAAAGTCATTATTTTCAAATTCTTCCCCATGATCACTTCAAATGGAAATAATAAGTAAACCTTTCTCATTTTGAAGCATTTTATAAAGAGTTTTGAAAGCATCAAGTGCATCTTTCTTATGTGCAAGAAAAGCAACCCATGTAAATCTAAAATAGTCATCAGCCACAACAAGCACATATGATTTCCCTCTAATGCTTAAAATGCATATAGGTCCAAACAAATCCATATGAAGTAACTTAAGAGATCCATTTGTAGACATGCATTTCTTAGCCTTAAATGAAACTCTACTTTGTTTACCTTTCATGCATGCATCACACACACCATCAATATTCACATTCACCTTAGGCAAGCCATCAACAAGATCATGCTTTAATAAGTTAGAGATAACACTTATGCTAGAATATCCTAATCGTCTATGCCACAACCAAGTATCATCATGAGATATAGAAGCAAGGCAAATATTGGCATCTATGTCATGCAAATCAATCACATATACATTTTTAAGTCTCTTTCCAACAAACAACACTTTATCATTTCTAGAATCAATAATCTTGCAATGAGCTTTAAAGAACACGACACTAAGCATGCGATCACATAATTGACTAATACTATGCAAGTTATGTTTCAATCCATCCACATACCAAACATTATCAAAAGAAATAGATTTGTTACCAATTTTATCGATTCCTTTCACAATTCATTTTCCATTGTTACCAAAGGTCATGTTTCCACCATCCAAGGGCATAAGTGATGAGAATTGTGAAGGATGACCCATCATGTGCCTTGAGCATCCACTATTTAGATACCATTTGTTCTTCATTTTGCTCACAAGGCACACCTACAAAACAAAAATCAATTTTTGATCTTAGATACCCAAATTTACTTGGGTCCTTGGGTGTTAGTTCTTATAGTTCCTTTTGGAACCCAAATTTGCTTCATATTACCTTGAGCTATTAATATTTTCAAAGGACAAGTATATGCAAAGCGTCCTTTAGCTCCACAACAATAGCAAGTGACTTTAGGATAAGAGGATTGACTTATTTTTACAAAGGAATTCTTTAAAGTTCTTTGCTATTTAGAATACTCAAATTCTATGCCCTTTTTATTATAAACACTTCTTTGAGAATTCAAAATAGAATCAAACGTTTCTTTATTTAAAGTGAATTTAGAAATCACTTTTTAAGATCATCAATTTTCCTCTTTAAATCCTCATATTCCTTTTTTAAATTATTATTAGATTCCTTATGCTTTAAAGATGCAATCTCAACATTTAAAGAGGTATTCTCTTTAACTAAAATCTCATTTTGTTTTGAGAGAGATTCAATCCCATTCCTAAGCAATCAAATGGTTTTAGTAAGAGCAAGATTCTCATCTTCTAGTTTCTTCATGTCATTCATCGAGCAATCAAGAACTTTACATAAATCATCATAAGAATACTCAAATGAACTTTCATTAATTAAACTAGAGAAGTTAGAATTTACCTCCTCATCATTGTTGCTATCCTCTTAAGCCATGAAGCAAAGATTTGCAATATCATTCTCCAAGGAGCTTTCACTTTCTGTTGAGCTAGTTTCATCATCGCTCCAAGTGGTGACAAAAGCTTTTTTCTTCTTGTTCTTCTTGTCTTTCTTCTCACCCTTGTTCAATTGAGGACATCCATTTCTACAATGCCCCATCTTATTGCATTCATAGCACTTCACATTATTTTGCTAGACTCTTTTTCATCTCTTGAAGTTCTTCTTCTTCATGAATCTTCTCACTTCTTTAGAGATCAAGGCGGAGATGTCTTCCCCATCACAAGCATCATCTTCACTCTCTTCCTTTTGGTTGTTAGCCTTGAATGCAACATTCTTCTTTTTCTCAACCAGTTCAACTTTACCATCAACTTGAACATCAATCTTATAAGTCATCAAGTTTCCAATAAGATCATCAAGCTTGAGAGTTTTGAGGTCCTTAGACTCTTCAATAGTAGTCTTCTTGGCTTCCCAACTCTTAGGCAAGCTTCTAAGAATCTTCCTCACTACTTCTTAACTAGGATAAACTTTACCAAGCACCTTGAGATTGGTGACTATATCATTCAATCTTGTATACATATCTTGAATGCTCTCCTCCAATTTCATCTTAAAAAGCTTATACATGTGAGTGAGTCTATTGATTTTTGACTCCTTCACTTGGCTTGTTCCTTTATGTGTTACCTTCACATGTCCCACATCTCTTTGGCCGTATCACATCCGGATGCTCTAGGGAATTCCGTTGGATTGAGAGCACATTGAAGCATGTTGATTGCTTTGTTGTTGATCATGATCTTCCCTAAGTCTTCATCATTCCATTCAACTTCTTCCTTTGGCACCTCACTTTCTCCAACAACTTTCATAGGCTCATGTGGACCTTTTAAAGTCACAATCCATGTCTTGGGCTCATTTGCAAGCATGTAGACCCTCATTCTATTCTTCCAATAAGTATAATTAGTGCCATCAAAGAAAGGAGGCTTAGTGGTAGACAAACCTTCAAGTGGTACAGAAGCTTGAAATTGAGCCATCCTTGATCAACTCCTAGGTGGTTGAGCCTTCAAAATGGAGCACTTGCTCTGATACCAATTGTTGACTCAATGTACTCCAAGAGGGAGGGTGAATTGGAGTTCCAAAAATTTCTCTCCTTTTGCAACCACAAAACCAAAATTAAAGAAAGTAGAGAAGAAGAGCTTGCTCAATGATTTTATAGAGGTTCTGTCCAACCAATTGGAGCATAATCCTCTACCCTGGCTTCACTCACCAAGGATTTTCTCCACACTCTTCATTAAGAAAAACAAGAATGGCCTAAATGAGCCATTCAATCCTTTTACAAGAATATGAGTATTTCTCTCAAACCTCACCCCTTTACAATATAAACCCCAAGAATCTTTTTTATAGATCACTCTTAAAGGAATAATCACACCCCCAAGAAAATACACCAACATAACAAGAAGAGGATTACAAGCAAAGATCACTCAAAGATCAAAACTCAAGTTAAAGCACAATTGGGTAGGTAAAGATATTCAATGCAATGCTCTAAAACTTGTTTCAGATATATTACCAACCATATTTATAGCCCCTAACTCGAAAATAGCCATTTCTAGCCGTTGGGGGTCAATTAATGCTCTGCAAGACGTGTAATTTTGAATTGCAGAATTGTCAGCACAGCCGACTTAAAGTATAGAGCCGGTTTCCTACACATTCTGTTTTTCTTAAAGAACCGGCTACAAGACGTAAAGCCGGCTTTATGGGTTTCTTACAAATTCTGTTTTCCTCAAGAGCCGACTATAAAATGTAAAACCAACTTTGGAAATCTGACTTTAAAATATTAAAGAAATCTTCAAATAACTTACTATAGTGCATTTAATCCACCCTCACAACCGACTGCAAAATTAAAGCTAGCTTTGCATTTGTTTTTTGCGCACGCCAAACTACAGTTTTAAATCTTTCGCTTGTAGAGCCGACTGGAGGTTTTAGAGCCGACTCTTTACCAATTCAATTCTTCCGAGTTAGTTGCAGAGTTTTTAAACTGGCTCTTTATACAATCTAGCCTTTTTGGTCCATTTTTAATGCATTTCAAGTTCACTTACTTTTGCAATTTTTGGTTTTAATTACACTTAAATGAACTAATTAGTCACTCAAATATGTTTTGTAATCATCAAAATCATAGGTACAACATAAAGAAAAATATAAAAATTAATCTCGATTTTAAGTAGATAAAATTAATTAAATAATTAATAAATTAAAAATTAATTTTTATTTGTAATAAAAATTATAATAAAAGCATACATTTATTATACCACAAATCTCTTATTCTTATTTTTTTATTTTAAAATAATTGTTATTTTTATTTTAAATTTACCTTAAATTAATTGTTATTTTTTCTTTTTTTCAAGATAAATAAATATTTTTTATTTTAATTTTATCTTTATCTATTCATTTTAATTAATCATTCAATTAAAAAAAATTTCCTCTTTTATTTTTTAAAGTATTATAAATAAATCTAAATATTATTTTCTAATCCTTAATTTGAGAAAAAATTTAAAAAAAATGATTACTTTGAAATAAAAAGAGTATAATATATGTTGTACTCATATTTTTCTAATAAAGGTAAAACAAAATAAAAATAGAACCATTTAAGGAAAGTTTACAAGTTATGAATAAGGGTGACAATTTCTTTTGATTCTCAAGGGCCCATAGGATTCTTACTGCAAGGGCGGGAAGGAATATTCCTCCCTACAAGTAGGGATAAGAGTGTTTTGCTTTCTTAAATTTATGTAAGGAATTTTTCCCACTCTTTCGATCCTCGTAGGGATCCCCACCTTCACCAAAAATTAAAAAAAGGATATAAATTAATTTAATTTTAAATTTGATCCAATTCAAAAACATTACAATAGAAAACCCAACTTAATATAAATTAATTTTATCCTAATATTATAAAACCTATGCCAACTAGCCAACCCATATCTAAGTATCTAACTCTAACCTAGCCCTAATACACATCAAACCCACACTTAATTCAACTGCAGCTAGCGGAGGGGATGGCCAACATCCACTCTTTCCTCTCTTTCTTAATTTCTCTCAGCCTTTGCCAAACCTTAAGTCCCTACTTGTCGCCTGCCACCTGTCACCTGCCCTGTTGCTGAGCAGTTGCTTGCTTGCTACCTGCTTTGTTGAGGCAAAACCATAAGTTAAGCCCCTAAACTAACCCCAGAATCACTATTAAGCCCCCAGACTTTAATTGATGTAGATAAGCTCCTGAACTCTACAATCGAAGCAATTTAGCCCTTACTCTCATAGCCAACTTAATTGCCGTTAATTGTCATTCGGGGATTGCCTTGTGTGGTGAAATATGGCGGTCTCATGCCTATGTGGCAAGAGATTTGGCATTTGGTTTATCCACTTGGATGCAAAAGAAAAAAAAAAAAGAAAAGAAAAAAATGGAAAATGATTTAGGAACAATTTTTTATATTCTTTTTTTGTATAATTTTACATATTATTTAAATAATTAGCTTTTTATTTATGAATTTGTCTAACTTATACTCTAAGGGCACAAATAAAAAATGCAATAAATACATTTTTTTAATAAATTTATGTTAAAAAAATAAAAGTTAACCTTTAATTTTTTAATTATCCAATTAAATTCATCCATTTAACACCGATACTAAAATTAATATCAATTTTTACATTTTTTATATACATTTACGATAAAAAAAAAAAAAAGAAAACCCCTTAACATGTGCCCTATTAGAAAAACCCTTTATTTATTTGAGACTTGTGATATTAATATTAAGTACATTCACTCACTTAAAGTTGTAAAAAAAAGTTGAAAAAAAAGTTGTACAAAAAAATTGTCCCCCTATTACAAACAAGAAAAAATTAGAGAAAGAAAAGAAAAAAAAGGTCCCTATATCACTTGAGGCTTCCTTTTACTTTTTCTTTTCTTTCTCTTTTTTTGGGTGATATAGGGACAACTATTTTGTATAACTTTTTATACAATTTTCACATATTATTAAATGAGTGAATATGCTTAACATCACAAGTTCTAAATGAATAAAAGGTTTTTCTAACCTATACCCTTAGGGCACATATTAAGGATTTTTTTTTATCATAAATATATAAAAATATATAAAAATTGATATTAATTTTAGTATTGATGTTAAATTGATAAATTTAATTGGATAGTTGTTACCTTTTATTTTTTAACACAAATTTATTATAAAAAATGTATTTATTACATTCTTAACTTGTGCCCTTAAGGCATAGGTTAGACAAACCCATAAAATAAAAAAAGTTAATTATTTAAATGACATATAAGGTTGTATCCAAAAATAATACAAAAAATTATTCCTAATTTTTTTTTTGTTTTTGCATCCAAGTGAACAAACCAAATGCCAAATCCCTTGCCACATAGGCATGAGATGGCCATATTTTACGACACGAGGTAGTCCCCCGAATAATAGTTAATGGCAATTAACGGCAGTTAAGTTGGCTGTGAGAGCATGGGCGAAATTGCTTTGATTGCAGAGTTTAGGGCTTATATGCATCAATTAAAGTCTAGGGGCTTAATAGCAATTCTGGAATTAGTTCAGGGGCTTAACTTATGGTTTTGCCCTTTGTTGAAGAAGTGAAGCCATCGAGATTGGTCAAGAATAAATTTCAAAGTTAATAAGTTCATATTTTTTTATATTTTTTTATGATCTATTTCTTTTGTTTTTTAATTAATTAGTTAATTTTCAATTTAAATTTTTATATTTGAAATGGGTTCTTAGGATGATAAAAATTTCTCCACTCTTAATGAGGATGTGGATGTCAATGAAAAAGATGATTTAGAGGTAAAATATACATAATCTTTTTTATACTAATAATATAAACAAATTTTCTATGAATATATTAACATAAAGTATTCATTGTATTGTAGGATCTTTGACGTGCAAATGTGGATTTTGAAAGTTGATTTTTGAGTTGCTGTCTCTTGCTTTTGTCCCTTGTACAAGTCCCATGTTAACTTAGTTATTTATGATTGTTGTTATGTTGGTAGAGAACTTTGTTTATATTTGAAAATTTTATATTTGATTTTATATTCAAAGAATTTTATTCAATTATGCTTAAACTTGTAGAATTTTATTTATTGTATTTAAATCTTAATTCATTATATTTAAATAAGAACATTCACATTTTAGTAAAAATTGGTGAAAAATGGGGATTCCTAAATGAAATGAGGATAGTGACACTATGAAAAATTCTCATGAGAATTCCCATCTTGGCCATTCACTGGGATGTGGATGCAAAGACACTCCTTGCCTTGCGCGGTCTCATGGCCACCCCTAGCTACAAATTGGTAGATGCAGCTCGGGCAACAATTGATGTTGGTGTTGTTGATGTGCTTTTCTCTTTTAGAAAATTCCTCTATTAGAACTTTTCTTTTAAATTAAGTAAAGGTAGAATTTTTAATTATGTATAAGTAAAAATACTCTAACTAAATTTCTTATAAATATGTTAGAACTTTTTAGAAAGTTTATAATACCCTTTTTTTGGTAAATAATTAAAATATTAAGTACTCATTAGTTTTAATTAAATAAGTATTAATTTTTTTTTTTAAAAAAAGTGAAACTCTCTCTTTAGTCTTCTATTACTTTAATTAATAATTTTAATTTTAATAACTGAATCTAATCCAAAAATTCAGTTTTGATTACCAAAAATTTGATTTTTTCTTTTTTTTTTTTTGTTTTAATATGGTTCATTCAATTAGTAAATTTCTTTTAATCTTTTTTAAGAAAAAATATTTTATTATTAATTAAAGTAAAATATTTCAATTAATTAAATTTTTAACTGAATTAATAAAAAAAACTTATTTTAAATATTGCGTGATTTAATTTTAGTATAAATTTAAAAGTTGAGGGACCAATTGATATTTTAACCAAAATAAAAGTAAAAGTAAAGAAAGGCTTGTAAGTCAAAAAAAAATACACAGAAAGTAATAACAACTCATGTAAATAACAAATTTTAAGCACAACACATGACACACTCAATAATAGCAACTTGTTTAGGGCTTCTCCTTTTCTTAAATCAAGTACATAATTTTATATTCACAAGTTACTTGGTACTTGTTGGATTAGGTATCAATTATAAGTTTTTGAGTATTTGAATGAATATCTAATGTAAACAGCTATACTTGAAAACTTTCAAATTAAGTACCAAATATAATTCTTACTTGACCTATACCCAAAATGCTCACCCTTAACCCCAAAAGCCTAACCAACTAAATCAAAGATTACAGAGAGTAAAACCCATGATGAAAAAATTACAAATGGTAATAACTTTGAAAATTTTATGAAGGGTGAAATCTAATACATTACAATCTAGTCAGTCATCATTCTAATTAAATACGAGGCACCTCGCCTCACAAAAAAGGTAGAAAGGTAGCATCAATAGAAAGAGCAATCTCATGCTCCCAAATAATGATCCAAAGCAACAAGATTACAAGTCTTGGTAGAGGAGATAAAAATCCAAGATAAAAATTCAACAACAAAATTCTTTGTGCTTAGTGACAATGAATGTGTAGAATGACTGCCACACCTTAAATTGGAAGGGGATAAAATCAGATGTTGTAAACTTTTTATTGTGTTTTATAAGTGTATAAAGTTTAGAATTTGTTAAGTATATTATGTAAAATTTATAATTAATATAAATTCTAATTAAACACATTCATGTTATATTTTGAGTGGGATTTTTTTTGTTTTATGATTTCAAGTAGGCCATATCTATGTCAATATAACAATGACAAGGATAGGATAATGGAGTAGAGATAATCATGTGACTCATTTAAGGAGATTATGTCTATTTTAAGCTAATTATAGTAATAAGGTAAAATTTATGGGTTGAATTGTATAATATATATAGTGAGGGGTTAATAGTCTCAAAATAAACAATTAGAAGGGTTCCAAAGATTATGCCAGAGAAAGCTAGGAGAAAATTAGAAACTGCCTTTGGGAGTAATTGAAAATTAAATTTCCTTTGGGAACACTTCTAGAATTCGACTTTAGCTTTTGATTTTTTTTTTAGTATTTTTATTATTTAATTAAAATGTATATTAAAAATATTTTAAAAAAATAAAATATTAATTAAAGTAAATATTAAATATATTATATTTTTTTAAAATATTAAAAAAATCAAAAACCCTTACGACTGCAGTCTAATAATTCAAACCAAGCCTAATAATTATAAAAACACATGTCAGCAACGCCGCGTGGCTCGCTAGTGCCACATATTTTCGTTGCCCGAGTCGCACCTTTCGATAAGGAGGATCATTTTCCAACCTCCATGTCATTACCCCACCTTTTTTTAGAATTATCCGAACTTCTATTTGTGGCATGAAAATAATATTAACACAGAACGAAAATTCCTCCTTGAATTATTCCTTGCAGCCCCAATAACGGTCCCAATAAAGTCAACACGTCATTCTTCCGGTAAAGACAATGATAATGTAATCTACTAATGTGGACGGTTGATTCCATTCAAGCACTAGAAATTTCAATTTTCAATTCTTTTGTGCCGACAGCCGAAAGAAAGAAGAAAATTCCGGTGTCACTCTGATTCTAGAGCAAGAATATCCTTCCCTCTAGATTATGCTAAATTTTCTAAGTATAACAGAGGAAACTGAACCGTAAAGAAAGATAATTCAACTCTTTTTTTGGTTTTTTTTTTTTTTTTAATCTTGATGTAGACCATAAAAACTAGAACCATATATACAACACAGGTTCAACTATTTGAATATTGTACAAAAATAAAGATTTTTTTTTTTAAATATGTATACATAAAATCGAACTCGCAAGACGTAAATCATAATGCTTTGATTTCTAGATTCACAATAAAGTGGCAGGGACAATCCAATTCTATTTAGTAAAAAATAAAATAAAAATATATTATGTAGTTTAAATGTATTGTAATAAATAATAAAAAATAAAAGGTGTTATATTATTA